TCCAGCGCGAGCGTCCCCGGGTTGGTTGGAGCGCCGTCCGAACGTACCCCAGATTGTGCTTGGGACGAGGCTTGCGGCGGCACCTCTGAGGGGCCCAAGCTGGGTCCAGAATCGTCCAAAGCTAGATCCCAGAGCGCGTCCAAAACAGCGTCAGAATTGGAATGTAGGAAAAAAAGCCACAGACGAGCGGGGCAGCCGCTATCAGAGGCATCTGGGCGAGCCCCAGCCAGGCGAAAATCCTCAAAATTCCAAATTGTGTTACGATTCGACATTTCCAACGAGTCGGCGAAGGGCCCAAGAGGGGCAAGAATGGAGCGAAAATCGGCACCAGAGGCAAGCTGGGAAAGATCGTAAATTCAACTCCGTCTTGGATTTCATCTTGGGGCCGTCGCGGGTTCCGACACGGGGATGCAGCGCCGCAGCAGGCGACGGAAGGGCGGAGCTGGCCTGAGGGGAAAAGCACGTTCAACTTTTGACAGACCGCTTCGAAGTCAAATTCTACGCGCCGCTCTGCCCAGTGGACGGGTAGACCCAGGTGGCGTACACCTTAGGCGATGCTTAAGAAAACTTAAGTTTTTGGCCAGAGTCTCGATTATTCTTAACGTTTCAATGTAAATCTTAAGATTTTAATAGAAATGTTGGGTTGTTATTCAAGTTCTGAGACTATGAATTTCTTAACCCATGATTTCTTAAGCATTTCGCAGGGTGTACGCCATTCCCCAGGACCACTGAAGACGGAATTCGCGATAAGGGTTTCAGCTTCCTGGGGCCTCCGTGAGCCCGTGGAGGGCTTTTTTTTTTCGGAGCTCTCAACGGGCTTTCTTGGGGCCCTATTGGAGCTTATTGGGGCCATCTTGGCGTCCCTTCGGGTGCCTTGTGGCAGCTTTGAAGGGTTTGGAAGCCGCTAAGAAGTGTGTTGGGGCCGTCTTGGGGCGATGCTTGGCAGCCTTGGAGCCGTTCCAGGGCCGTCTGTGACGCCAGCCAGGGACCTCTGGGGACAGCTTGGTGGCATCTTGCGCAGTCTAGGGGTCTCTTGGAGGCTTCGTGAACCCTGGGCCTCTGCGCACGCCCTGGAGGTGTATGGAACTTGAAACCACAGGGGACAAGGAACCATTTCGAGCTGTCCAGGAAGCTCCGCCAAGCCAGTCTGGTACCTCCGGTGGCTACTTAAGGACAGCTGTGTGTCTTTGGATGTTTTTCCTGATACTCCAGCGCCAATGTTTGCCGTCCCAGGCATTGCACAGGGTCACATCGGGTCACCTTGGCACATTTCGTACTGTAGGCGTTGGTGGGTTGGGGTGGGCTATTTGGGAGGGGCCTGCAGGCCACAGGACGCATCTGGGAATTCGTAACCCCCCACCCCCCCACTCCCGTCCCCCCACTTCAAAGGGCAACTTGAACACCCGAGGATGGGGAAAGCCAAACATCTCACAGGCCTTCCCACTCATGGCAAGCGGGGACAAGTGGATCTTCCGCCTCTGCTTCCTCTTTCTCTTCTTCGTGATCGTCCTCCTCCATCTTCGCCTCCTTCTCCTTTGTAGTGGCCATTTCTAATTGTCTCCCTCCGCAGCGAGACTGGGGTGGATTCGCTGCGACTGTGGCGGCCGCCATCGGGCAAGAAAAAAACATACTATGGCCTACCCCTATTGTCCTATTGGTGTCCTGTATGTGTGCTTGTCCCCACGAGTAGAGAAACTCGAGCCAGTTGTACTGTCACGCATGTTTGCCACCACGGTGCGGAGAGGAGGGGCGGGGAGGGAGGTTGGGAAGGTGGAAAGTGGTGGGTCTTCGAAAAGCCCCTGAGCAAACATGACTTTGAGCAGCATGTTCCTTTCGGATGGCCACGAACTGAAGTACCCTAAGCGATGAGATATGCATGATTGTCTCGGCTCTGCGGGAAAAGCTTCAGTCTTGCGTCGCAGACAGAAAACTAAGAGACGTTTGCCAGCGTGGACCCCAAACAGTGAGATATTGCGCTGTGCATGTGTAGTCTGCGTAGTGTGATCTTCGAAGCGTGATGCATGCTGTGCGAGCTGTGAGGTCTGAGTTATGTGGCGCAATCTGTGTGGTACAACACATGTGGTTTGAGCCATGCGATGTAAGCTATGTGTTGGCACATACATATACACTTATAGGATGAGCTATGTGGTGCCAGCTGTATGATCCAATACATATACATGCATATGAGTGTGGTGAGCTGTGTGGTATCAGATATGCGGCACTCTCCCTTTGTGATGAAATACTTGCGGAGCAATACATGTGGTGTGCGCTTCCTGGTGCGAGCTGTGTGGTGCAATCGATGTGGTGTGAGCTACGCTATGTGGGCTATGCGCTGCAAGCTATGTGGTGCGCTTCATTTGGGATGAGCTGCGAGGCCGAAGCCATTTCACTATGTGGTGCGAGTGACGCAGTGTACGCACGGGGCGCCCGCGAGGCGCCCACCAGGCGGCAGCGTGGCGAAACCTCCGGCGGACCCACCCGGCGCACGGGGCGCCCACGAGGCGCCCACGGGCGGCAGCGTGGCGAACCTCCCGCGGACCCGTGCAATTCCGTAGCAGGACGAGCGAGAGCCCTCGTGTGCAACCGTTGCTCGGGAGAACCTCCCCCAACAAAAGAGGAAAAAGTGCCAGGGGACCGACACACCCACCGCGCGAGACAGCAGGGCACTGCCCCAATCCGTCACGGGCAGCGGGTAGTCATGGGGCTTCGGCAGGGAAGAGGCGACCTCCACCCTGGCAGCTGGCCCGCCTGAGGCCGAGTCCCGCTTCACCTCCTCCACGGAGACGCTGAAGTCCCTCGTGCCCGAGAACAAGGACAGCGTTAGCGCCGCGGCTCTGGATCCCGACCGGGGTATCGCCCGTGAGTTATCGACCGGCGTTTACGTCGCAACCGTGGCCGATCTTTCAGACAGGGGGAGGAAGGCCCGATGAAAAGGGCAAGCGGTAGAAGGATTCGGCGTCGCGTTGAGGGACCCGGCTGGCTCCACCAAGGATCGGCGTTTGACGGCCCGACGGCTCGATGTGTTGGCTGTTGTTTGATTGCCAGGCGCGGTGTGTTGAGACATGTTGGGACGTACCGCTATCATCGGAGACTTTCTGAGGGATTGCCACTCGATCGAATGAATGTTGCATGCCCTCCTTTCGTGCTCGATCTGTTGAGTAGAACCCTCATAGTTGAGCGTCGGCACGAGCGCCATCGCGAGCGTATTGACGGGCTCGGCAGGGGGCCCTACCACCTCAGAGTGCTCGGGAAGCAAAGAAGGCAATGTTGTACTCTCTCGGCGTACCATGTCGCGCTCGTCCTCACACTTCCATCAACTTGATGGTTCCCGTATACAGCTATCACGTAGCTCTGGGCCAGTGTCCACCAGGCGCAATACAGCTGATCTTGCGAGCCTCCCGATCTTGAACCCGCCAGCTTCATTCATGTTCTCAGCTGTCCCACTGACTTCATGCTTATAATCCGAAACCCCGCAGCGATTATTAGGACAGGGGCGAATTGTCAGACACCGTTCTCGTTCGAGCGTTGTTCTTCACATTCCCAAGGGCGTTGCTGTCGCATGAGCGTCTGGTTCGGGGCTGGCTCCCCAGAGCGGGCGCCTCACTTTGTCAGGGGGGTTCTTAAAAACACATGCTTGGGCGTGCAGTGGGCAGGGGTCAGGAGGCAAGGGAGCGAAGGTTGGAGCGAATGAGGGAGCGAGGCAGCGATCGAGGGAGGCAGGCGACCTTCAAATTTGGGCGAGCGCAAAGGAAGATGTTGCGCACCCCTCTTAAGCAAAAAGATATCATTGGCCTCTTTTGCCCCAGTGGCGTTGCAACTGCACTCCTTCACTGCAGCGCTATCGGGGTGAACAGCCGCATATCACTTGGCAGCGTTGCAAGGGCGCCTCACTGCTGCAACGACATCAGGGTAAAAGTCCCTAAGTATTGCTTCGCGTGAAGGGGGGCGCCTAATTGTTATTTGCGTTCGTCCAGATTCTGGCCGAGTGGCGAAGCGCGCTAGTTAAGTTCAACATCGCCCCCCCCGTTTTCCTAACCTTTTTCCTCCCTTTCCTTCCCCTTCTCTCGTTGCCCTCCTCCGCCTCCTCCTCCTCGCCTCGACCCCGCGAAGTGGACACCCGGATAGTGAATACTACACGATGGAAGCCGGACGCGAGGGACCGTTGGTCGGACCGTTCAACGGGGCGCCAGACGAACGACGGGGCGGGCGAGACGAGGTCCGCCCGCTCCCGAGCGACGCAGAGAGGCGGGCTGCGTCTCCTTCGTCGTGCGCTTGGCATCGCTCGGACGTGTGCATTTTTCCTTCGGCGAGGACCATCGAGGAGCACCCTTGATCATATAGCGAAAAAAGCACGCACGCCACCGAAAAAAACACAGGGAATGGACGTCCGAGCGATGGCCAGTGTGCGTACCACAGATTCGACGTCATCTGACTCGAATCCCGAGCTGCGTAGGAAGGCGCTTGAGCAGGGCACCACGAACAAAAACAGGGCATCAGGGTCCGGCGCCTCCCGGGGGCGATCCCTCCCGCAGTTCCGCACATCGCACGATGGTGTATTCGGCAATCTTGAAGATCTCGTCAGCAATATGCTGTTCGATTCCCGCCAGATTCCCCTGGGTTTTTTTCTGTTTGCCACAGAAGCATCAAAGATTGACTCAGGGGGTGTGCACGAGTGGCCAGAGGCATTTCCAAAGACGCCCCGTTGATGCACCCCAGAAATCCAAGGATCCTTTCTGGAATCCTCACAGCTCCTTTTTGGAATTCTGATCAAATCTTTTGGCATCCCAGGACGAATTGCGCCGGGAACAATCATGACCGCCCGTAAGGAATCTTGAGGAATTGCTCTGGGTTTCTGGGGGGACCCGAACGGGTTCGGGTCTCATCGTGCACATTTCGCGGCGGGCTTCAGGAACCACCTGCGCGGAGCAAGACCCCCGTCGATGAGACGTGGTTTCCTTTTCGCGCGCGCCCAAACGCGCAGCGAAGGCACCATCCCAGTCGTAGCGCAAGACACCCAACCAGACGCAGAGCGAGACTCCCACTGGTACGACGCAGCTGCGCAGCCCCTCGTCGCACAGCGCGGCGCCACCCCAGTCGTTGACGAGACGACCACCAACCAGGCGCAGAGCGAGACCCCCACGAATACAACACATGACGTCTCTCACCATTTGGCGAAGGGGGCCGTGAGGAGGAGAAGGAGGAGGAGGAGGAGAAGGCGAGGAAGGAAGTTCCCCCTCAGGCGCAGGCAAGGGAGGTGCCCCAATGTTGCTGAAGGGGTGGGATATGTGCGCGCGTTTCCTGGCAAATCCCCTTTTTCGGTATCCTCCTCCTCCTCCTCTTCCTCCTTCTCCTCCTCCTCCTCCTCCTCCTCCTCCTCCCCTCCTCCTCCTCCTCCTCCTCCTCCTCCTCCTCCTCCTCCTCCTCCGCTCCTCCTCCTCCTCCTCTTTCTCCTCCTCCTCCTCCTCCTCCTCCTCCTCCTCCTCCGCCTCCTCCTCCTCCTCCTCCTCCTCCTCCTCCTCCTCCTCCTCCTCCTCCTCCTCCTCCTACCCTCCCCTCCTCTCCTCCTCCTCCTCCTCCTCCTCCTCCTCCTCCTCCTCCTCCTCCTCCTACTCCTCCTACTCCTCCTCATCCTCCTCCTCCTCCTTCCACTCCTCTTGCTTCTCCTCCCCCCCCTCTCCTCCTCCTCCTCCTCCTCCTCCTCCTCCTCCTCCTCCTCCTCCTCCTCCTTCTCCTTCTCCTTCTCCTCCTCCTCCTCCTCCTCCTCCTCCCCCTCCTCCTCCTCCTCCTCTTTTATTTCTGTCTCCAGAGCTCTGACATGCCCTGCGGATGGTGGGGGGGAGCTCTCAAAGAACCAGTTTTTCTTGTATCCCAGAATCCCCACGAGGGTAAGCCCGTGCTCGTGCCGATCACCTCGTCGCTATACCTTGACGGGGAGATGAGCAATACTTCCACAGTTATGGTGGACGTAGGCCAGCAGCAGCCTTCTGCTTTGGGGGAAGGGAGGGAGGAGGAGCTAGTTTTCATGAGGCGTGGCATGAACTGACTGCCTATGTGGTGTTGCCCTTTTTGGCTGTAGCGTGCGACGCAAAATGTTTGAATAAATCGGAACCGCTACTGCGTTCCGATAGTGTGATACTGTCTGCACAGGAGCGCACCTCGCACCGTACAGCTGTGTAGTCGTTATGTCGGATGTGTATACCAAACCGTTGTGCCTTCGATGTGCTTATAGGACAGGCTTCCCAAATTGCAAGTTGGGGAAGCGCGTGGCCTGAGAGAGGGAGGGCTGGCGCCCCCCCGCCTGGACGCCCACCCTCTTGGACGCCCCCCTCCTGGGCGCCCCCCTCCTGGACGCGCCCCCCCCCTCCTGGACGCCCCGCCCCCTCCTGGACGCGCCCCCCTCCTGGACGCCCACCCTCTTGGACGCCCCCCTCCTGGGCGCCCCCCTCCTGGACGCCCCCCCCCTCCTGGACGCCCCGCCCCCTCCTGGACGCGCCCCCCTCCTGGACGCGCCCCCCTCCTGGGCGCCCCCCTCCTGGACGCCCCCCTCCTGGGCGCCCCGCCCCCTCCTGGACGCCCCCTCCTCCTCCGTCATGAGCGCCCCCCTCCTGGACGCCCCCCTCCTGGACGCCCCCCCTTCTTGGGCGCCCCCGAGAGTCGGGAGGGGAAAGGGCGGGCGCGCGCTTGCCGGCCGAGGGGGGTCCGAGCGCGTGGCGCCCAGGGACGGGCTACTTCATCGAGATGTCGGTGGCGAAGGCAGCGTGCGGGCGGCTCGCGGGCAGGAGGAGGAGGAGGAGGAGGAGGAAGGGGGAGGAGGAGGAGGAGGAGGGGGAGGAGGAGGAGGAGGAGGAGGAGGAGGAGGAGGAGGAGGGAGGAGGAGGAGGAGGAGGAGGAGGCAGGAGGAGGAGGAGGAGGAGGGCGAATCCCCTCGGCATTTTCGTCCCGAAGGGCTCCGAAGACGCGGCTGCATCAGGGCCACTGGAAGCCTCAGACCCTTAGAACTCGAAAGCACGGACGGCAAAATCGAGATTGGCGTCGTCGTCTGCAAGTTGTCAAAGCACCTGCCCGACATCACAAACCCAATCCAGCGGGACCTCGTGCCCCCCCCCAGAAACTTCGGCGACAACATCATTGAAGGCGACGCCTGGTCCAGAATATGTGTATATTTGTGTGTACATGGGTTCGATGTAGACCAACGCGTCCGCAGCCATGCCGTCCCTGCTCATATTCGATTTCCAGCTGGCACTTCCGAGCATTGCCCACGACTGGATTCGCTTGGCCATTCATAATGTGCGTCGACCGCCGGCGCTCTGCTGACTCTCCTAGGAGCTGCTGCGTTGCGTGCAGTGCCTCAGCGCGACGTGCACGGCATGCCGCTGCTCTACTACGTGCAGAGTGACATCATCTGAGGTTGCCTTGGTTCAGGCGGCGTGCTCTCGATTGTGCCTGACCCGTTCATGCAGGACTTCCACCGCAACAACAACTTGCGCGAGGTCGGCCTGGTGCGCGCTTGCGCGGACGACATTAGCGCCGCCATCCTGCGCATCCGCGTGCTGCTCATCTTCTACAACATCTGCAAAGCTGCGGCGAGGGTATCGGCAGTCAAATCGTTCCCTTCCGAGAAGTTCAATCATCAGACACTGTTGGACGCTATCAGACGTGGCTGCAAGAACATATTCCAGAATGGACGGCCTTCGAGGTCGTCCCATGCCTGGCGCACCTAGGCATGTACTCAGGGCTTGCTGCCTTCTCTGACAATTCGAGAGCTCCGTTGACGGTATGATAGCACTGTCGGCCGCTCCTGGGCGCGTCACGGCCAACTACTACGGCGTCAATCGGGTGCACCAGCGTCTCGAGCTCCGTGGGGCCGGGTCGTGCCGCTGCCCGCGGACACCTGGCAGGACTGCGGCAGCCATGCCTGCTCGACTGTGGCGCACTGCCCACCGCGCCCTCCGGAGGGGCCGCCGGATCGACCCCCGGCGCCAGGGAGGCCCCCCGCTCCCGGAGTAGACCCTCGCCTCTACGAGCGCGGCCCTCCGCCGAGCCCGCCGAACACGACGTTCCGACAGTGGGCGACCGAGGGCCCCGAAGCCGCCCTGCCTCCCTGCCTGCCTGCCGAAGCCTCCTCCTCCTCCTCCTCCTCCTCCTCCTCCTCCTCCTCCTCCTCCTCCTCCTCCTCCTCCTCCTCCTCCCCCTCTTCGTCCTCCTGTCCAACCTGCGTGGCCTCCCGTGTTGCGCGCGGCCCGTTTCCCCCCCTTCGCTCCGGCAGCAGGCCTCGTTCCCCGAGCTCCCGGAAGCCGCTCACGAAGTCCGTCGGACAGGGGCGTTCCGCCTCTCCGGGTCCCCGTGGACCTCATTCTCCTCGTGCTGCCGCGACTGCCGCGTCTGCTCTCCATGCTGCTACCCTCTCGGGCCGCACGCTCAGAGTAGAGATCCAGGGCCACATCAGATCGGCCGTGCTCGAAACTAGATGCCTTGATGTTGTCGTGTCGGGTCTCGTGGCCCTCCTGGCCAATCTGCTACTTGAAACGGAGGCCCCGATCCGAGCGTGGCCGCGGGCGGATGTCCGACGGCGCTTGCTTGCAGTGTCCCGCAAGCGAGTGCTGTCTTGAAGCTCCTCGTGAACGGCTGGGCGACCGACTAGCGCTTTCAGCAAGGCGGTGCGTGCCTCCTCGTTTGCATTCCGTGCGGAATTGACCTCGCACGAGATATTGTCTCTCCAACGAGTTGGTCCTGCCATCGTTTCGTCCACCTCGCGTACGTCGTCCTTAAGGTCCAGTCCCTTCCTGGCCGCCCCATCATGCGTCTTGGTATGTCTGCGCCTTCTGCTGGCTCGCTGATTGTCCCTGCTGCCGCTACTCTGCTCTACCATGAGCTGAAGTCGGTCAGGGGATCCTCAAGTTATCCAGGAACGAGCTGCTCGTTCGATCGCCGCCACTGCGCGGTTCCCGCTGGCATAGCGCTGAGGAGGAGTGAGCGTCCGCTTCGGCCACGTGCGAGGAGGAGGAGGAAGAGGAGGAGGAGGAGGAGGAAGAGGAGGAGGAGGAGGAGGAGGAAGAGACGGGAGGAGGAGGGGGTGAAGGAAGGGGAGGAGGAGGAGGAGGAGGAGGAGGAGGGGAGGAGGTGGGGAGGGACAGGGGGACGGGGACGGGAGGGGGATGAAGGCGGAGGATCTGGATTTGCCGTGTATTCAGAGTTGGTAATTCTAGCTTCTTCGGGCGGGGGGCGCATTGCGAGCTCCAGCCTACAGAATGAGCTATAGCCTGGAAGGCGCCGAAAAGAAGTTTTAACGCCTACACTCGGTATCGCGCACTGCCCCCGACCACATCCTGCCCCCCCTCCGCTCGAATCAGGGACCAGAAAAGGGCGATGGTCCGGCAAATGCAGAACGAGCGTTAGATCAAGTCAGATTGGACTCGATTGGGTTTTTTTGTTGTACCATCGTTGTCGAGAAAGTCGCGAAGCGGTACTGGCAGTGGACATGGTGGATGGGGAAGGATCAATATTGGGTTCCCGTGTGAATTTCTCTGGGCGAGGCCTTCGGAACCGGTGCCGAAGGTAATGAGTCTTGCAAGACCAGCGGAAGCGACGTCCGCTGAGTCAGAGGACGTCCAGGGCCTAGAACAGTTGAATTGCACCTATCGAAGAGGAAAAACGCCATAAACACAAACTTTCGGCGCTCCGCGCGGGTTTCTTGGATCTGCGCTGGACCCCCCTCCCTGGCGCGCGGATCGCGCCAGAGGCGGCGCCGGAGGCGCCGCCAGGGGGGCCCAGCGCAGATCCAAGAAATCCGCGCGGAGCGCTGAAAATTTATGGTTACGTAGTTCTTTCTTCTTCTAACCTAGAGCATACAGCCTGCAAGCGACGCATGACTGTGCGGACGCGATGGAAGGGTGCAGACTAGGCGGTGCCAGAGTTTGCCCCGCAACCCGTGAGCAGTCATATCAGAGTAGATTATCGGGTCAGCCTGGATTGATGGTAATTATGCGTTTAAGTAGCGGTGGTTTAAAATGTTTCCTGACTTCTCGCAGCGAGGACGGCTGTCATTCCTCTTGTCCCTCTTAGCCTCTGTCTCCTTCACGCTGTGTCTCTTCCATATCCTGCGTCTGCTCCCCAGTTGATCCTCCTCCTCGTCATCCTCTCAATCACCAATATCATCATCATCAGCAGCAGCAGCATCATCATCATCACCATCACCATTACCATCACCATCACCATTACTACTAGTCATCATCGTCATCATCATCATCAGCATCATCATCAGCATCATCCCTCTCTTCCCCCGGGCACTGACCGTATATTAGGCGAACCAGTTCTGCGACAAGCGCACGAAGCTCCTTTCGACCAACGCCTCGAAGGCATGCGGCGGCGGAGATTGTGCGACGGCGACGACGACAAGCGACAGCATTGGGGATGACGACGGCCACGACGACGACGCCGATGGCGAACGCGTGGTCTCCAAGAAGGTGTCGGAGCAGACCGCCAATCGGGCAGAATCGCAGCCCGCCGACCACCCTGGACGCGGACGGGGACCCTCGCCCTCTTCGTCCTCCTCCTCCTCCTCCTCCTCCTCCTCCTCCTCCTCCTCCTCCTCCTCCTCTCCTCCTCTCTCATCATCATCATCATCATCATCATCATCATCATCATCATCATCATCATCATCATCCTCGCCCTCCTCCTTCTCCGCCTCGCCCTACTTCTCCTCGCCACCCTTCTCCTCGCCATCAATGTCCTCGTCCTCATCGTCCTCCTCCTTCTCGTGAAAATTGTCCTCGTCGCAGCACCAAACGTGACGATAGGGCAGTCCAGGAGTGTTGCTTGAGATCGTGGCACGTTGTTTTATCATAAAGCTTGAATTATCCCAGTGCGACCCTACCTAGGAGTTGGAACCCCTAGGAAAGCAACATTAGTAGTAACAGTGACGCTAAGCCAAAGCTAAGCT